TATTTGCAGGTGCTGCAGTGGCATGGAAGAGCATGAAACAGCAGTATGTGTCAACCTCCACTATGCAAGCAGAATTCTTAGCAGTTTTTGAAGCTACTTCAATGGCAATGTGGCTTAAAAATTTCATGTCTATGCTAAGAATTGTGGATTCAATACAGAAACCGATTCAGTTATGGAATGACAATACTGCGGCAGTATATTTTGCACAAGGAAATAAGAGATCAAATGGAATGAGGCATTTGCATTTAAAGTTCTTATCTGTGAAGGAAAAGATTCGAGATGGAGAGACTGCTCTAAGTCACATTGGCACAGATTTTATGATTGCAGATCCTTTGAATAAAGGGTTGCCTAATCATGTTTTTCACAGGCATGTGGCAAGCATGGGATTGCAATTCAGTTTTGATGCCTAAAGTCAGTGGGAGTCAGTGGGAGCTAGAGTTCTTACAGTTATGTTTTAATTCTGATTTTGTTAACTAGTTTTATCTAGACAGTTTTATTTTGCAGATTTAATTGAATTACTTTTATACAATGTTCTGCATTTGCTATTTATGGATGACAAATAGAACAAAGGGCCAAACTGTAATCATGTCAACATTATGTTTACAGTTTGAATCTATGAATGAGTCATTAAAGATTGTTGAAACCTTGGTAGTTTTGAAGGGTGGGCAAAGAACTGTTCAGTTTTGTCACACATACAGTAAAACCAAAAACAGTTCTTGTTTTTCAATCCAGTTGGAAGCCTTATGTGTTTTGCAGATTCATGTATGTGATTATAAAAGTCTTGGATGTTATATATCCATGTACTTCGATAGTCCTTTATGAATTTTTCAAAATGACAGTGGCTTGATAAAAGGAACAAGAGAATTTTGAGTTCCACATGGCCATTAAGTAATGAACAATAAGTCTAAATTGATTATTTGATCAAGTGGGAGAATGTAAGAAGGTTTATTACATTAAACCTACTAAAGTGATCTTCTAATCAACTTAGGATTACAAAGACTTATTGTTTATTAGGAACTCAAAACCTATCTCGATTAGGCAAGCCTCAAACAGTGTTTAATAAGGATAATGAAGGCTTAAGGGTTCCTAGTTCTACAAGGATTGAAATGGATTAATCCTATAGCATGAAGGATATCTCTAAGTGTTTCTTGATGGGCAAGACACTTAGAGAGATGCTTATAAATAGAAGGCTCCCTCCTAGATCCGAATAACACAACACAGCTAAACAGAAATTCACCCATCAGAGTTATAGCTATAAGGATCGGATTCTCAGGAGAAGAACTTCTATTCCTTTCCACTGCCAATCCGTTCCAGCTTCATCCAGTCCTTGCACCAGCACCATGTCAGACTCAGGTTAGTGTTAAACGTGTTATGGCTTTAATGGAATTAACATATACTTCACAAGCTTGGAATTTAGCAGCTACTAATATATTTGTCCTATGCATTGTGTGTGTGTGTGTCTTTTTTTTTCCTGGTTTGAATATCCGTTCTGTTTTCTATACATGTTCTCGGAAACGAAAAAACTTCGAAGATATCAACTCTTGAACCCTGTTAGGACGCCCAGAAGAGCCAAAAGAGGTGTCTTCCTTGGTACCATTTATGTGCCTACCAGCGGCCTCTCACATAACTGGCCAAACTATTTCCATCGATGGAGGGGTGGCTGTCAAAGGCCTCCTCGTCCAAGGAGCATGAGTTCAATGGCCGGAAGGCTTAGCCTCCAAAGCACTTGACTTGGAAAGAAAGGTTATTACTTGCTGCTACATTTTTTTTATTTCAAAATATCTGTGGAAATGGTTCTATGTATGTATATATGTATCTACTAGTAGGATGTACACTTGAGGTGAGTGTACGTACATGCTGCACCGTCAACTACATTGGCCAGGCCAGCTCAAATTGGAGGTGAACATAACACGTTCATCTAATAAAACTCAAAAATATTTTTCTTTAACTTCACTTTTTTAAACTAGTCATCATAATTTTCAGAAAGAGAAAAGGAATCCACTAATTAATTTCAAAAATACGCTAGCGCCCTCCCCAAAAAGTTTTCTCCAGCGCCGCATAGCTTGAGGGGGGAAGAGGAGTTCACTATTACGCCTCCTCCCTTCTCCCCTTCCTTCCCCTACTCTATTCCTCATTTGCTCTCTGTTCCTCCTGATTTGATGTTCATTTTTTGGCTCATTCTCCCCCTTTTGCGGGTGTTTGCGTGAGGTTTTCTCCTCTTTACTTGGTCCATTTTTGTGGGGCCCTTCCCTCTTTGTGTGGGTGAGCTTTGAGGCTTATGTCTCAATTTTCTATCATTTCCAATCCCCACATGACCTTCCCCTCTTGTGTCTTCGGCGGCGATAATAGTGGCAGCAGTGGCATGGGCAGCAGCTGTGGTGGTTTCAGCATCATCGGCTTTGTTTTTATTTTCGTGTGTTTACAAACTATGTATTTTCTCCATCCATCGTTGGCGACTACGTCTCAGCGTTCGTTCTCCACCACCATCATTTTCTCCTCTACTCCATGGGTGGATGATGCTTTTAAAGTGCATGTGTCACTTATTGCTTGGATTATGGTAGCGCTCTTTGTAACTTTGGTGGCTTGTCCACTATCATTTTCTGTTTGCAGCTTTGGTTACTAGTTTCTCTTCGGCGGTGGTCGTCTTGCGTTGGTGACACAGCTCGTGGGTTTTGGGTGGTGCAACATTTCCCTATTCTTTGTCTTAGGGCTTCATATGTGAGTGTTGTATTTTGTGAGCTTTTGCCTTTAGGTGGGCTTTATGTCCTTCATGAGTTTAATGACTATAGTGGGCTCTCCGCCTTCTGTACTGCATTTGGTTGAACTCATTTTTTGGGTTGAACTGGCTTTGGCCTTCTATTGAATGAAACTCGATTTTGACCTCAAAAAAAAAAAAAAAAAAAAAAAAATCTCCTACCCATATCAACCCAAAAAAGAAAAATAATGAGGAGAATACATTTGTTCTCTAGAAATTGAGAGATCTAAGAAAGGTATATACATGCGCGGTACTAGACATGTGGCTCTGTCTCTCTCCGTAACCTCTCTCTCTGTTTCTTTAACAAAAGCGATATTGAGGAGAGAGGGAATCAGACATGTGACCTCTCGGATGTATACAAAATCACTCTTAAATACCTCACATTCTTTCTTCACGGCCACGCAAGGAGTGCCATTCTGCAGAGATAACCACGTACACAGCTTGTTCCTGGCCCCACAATAATGATAAAAGTTAAAGCTATATATTCGAATAATTTTTTCTGTTATTAGTTATGGGGGAGGGGGATTAGATAGTAGTGGGTTGCCTCAAGATTGAACGGATACGGCTTCAAGCAGTACTTGTAAAGAGCCAAAGTGCTTGTTGATAGAGACAGCAGATATGGATAGAGAGAGAGAGAGAGAGAGAGAGAGAGGGAAGATGGTATCTTCTTTAGGGAATTGACTGCTCTTGTCACTGGTGGAACCAAAGGCATAGGGTTAGCTTTCATTTCTTTTCAGTTTAGTTGCCTTGCCTTGCCACCAGTTTGGAGTCTGCAATTTTTAAATATAATTAGTTGCCACCAGTTTCATTTCTTTTAAGGATGGTGAAAATTATTCCAGATAGTGTGGGAAAACTATGGAACGAATGGGACGTTAGGATTATGGTTGTTATCAGCCTGTGCTTACAAATCCTGCTAATACTCTTTGGAAGTCGACGCAAGTACATTGCAAAACCCTGGCTCAGAATCGTCACTCGGACGGCATACTTATCAGCAGATTGGGTTGCCGCAGTTGCCCTCGGAATGATATCCAGCTTCCAACAAGGAGAAAATGATCCAGAAAGTTCCACACATTCAAACAGCAGACAGAACCTGATGGTTTTTTGGGTGCCCTTTCTTCTGCTTCACCTCGGCGGCCCGGACACCATCACTGCTTACTCATTGGAGGACAATGCGCTCTGTCTGAGGCACCTCTTGGGCTTACTTGTGCAGGTTGGAACGGCTTTATACATCTTTTTACAGTCATGGACAGCAAGCCAGTACCAGCTGTCCTCACTAGCAATACCGATTTTTGTTTCCGGAATTATCAAGTATGGGGAGAGGACTTGGGTCCTGCGTTCTGCAAGCAGTGAGAGATTTAGGGAGCTGTTGCTCCCACCCCCTAACCAAAGTGATTATGCTGAGTTTGCCACTGAATATTATTCCAAAGAAATTCGGGGAGAGCCTGCAGCTTTCTCTTTGATCCCTGAAGCTCCATTTATACCTGGAGTTCACCCCACTATTGCTGAAGCCAAACCTCTCCATGAAGCCTATCAATTATTCAAAATCTTAAAGCGTCTCTATGCAGATTTGATCCTTGATCATTATGATGAACTATGGTGCAATTACATGATCAGCGACCATCCATTCGATTACGTTTTCAAACTACTGGAGATTGAGCTTGGCTTTATGTATGATGTGCTGTACACAAAGGCAAACATAGTGTATTCTCTCACAGGTATCATTTTCCGCTCCATCAGCCTCGTTTGCTGCATTTCCACATTTTTCGTCTATTGTCTCGTCATTGATAAGCATCATTATTCAACCATTGATGTGGCTATCACTTACTTGTTGTCTGTTGGAGCCATTGCCCTTGAGCTATATGCTATCGCTGCTCTAGTTCTCACAGACTGGACACAATATTGGTTAAGCAAGTATAAACATTGGTTAACCAGCCTAAATATTGGTTAATCAAGCGGCTACATACGCTTGCTCCACCTATGTATCGAGCAATCTCTTACTTCCGGTTGAAATTGAGCTATGAAAAAGGGTGGTCTGGAACCATGACACAATTCAATCTCATTGATTTTTGTCTAAAAGAGAAGCCCGTAAAGTTTGTTGGAATTCAAAAGTTCATTGGCACCTATGACATTTGGGAGAAGTACTGCTATTCAACTTTAGAGGATGTCCCTATCAAAATGAAACAGTTTATCTTTGAGCAACTCAAAGTTGCTCGAAGCGAACATCACGTTAGCCAAGTCTTGAGTTGGAGAGGTGATCAAGTGCTAAAGAAGACAAATTTTGAAGACAAATTGATTTGGAGCTTGGTTGAAGTACCTTTCGACCAGAGCATTCTTCTGTGGCACATAGCAACTGATTTGTGCTACTATACTGACCTAGAAAAATATCCGGAGATCCGTACTCCCGATTCGAAACACAGTTTCAGCAAGTTGGTCTCGAATTACCTGATGCACATTCTCGTGACGCGCCCTTTCATGTTGCCAAAGGGAATTGGGAAAATTAGGTTCCGGGATACTTGTGCTGAGGCCACAAAATTTTTTGAGAAGAGAAGAAGCATCATAAGTGGTAGTAATGGAAAAGGCCGTGCCCGTCAAGTGTTGCTTGAGGTGAACACAGAGGTGGATCCAGAGAGAGTGATTGGGGACAGAAGCAAGACAGTATTGTTTACCGGGTGTAGGCTTGCAAAACAGTTGCAATCACTTGAAACGGAGGAAGGATGGGGAAATGAAGAGAAATGGGAAATGATAGCTAAGGTGTGGATAGAGATGTTGTGCTATGCAGCAAGCCAATGTGGGTGGAATGAACACGCCCAACATCTTAGAAAGGGGGGAGAGCTTCTTACTCATGTCTGTCTTCTCATGGCAAATTTTGGTTTGAGTGAACAATTTCAGATAAGAGTAGGGGCGCCAAGAATATCTATCGAACCAGGGGGTGAGTGAGAGTGAGGCTATCTGTCTCAGAGCAGATCTGTTTGTACTTGAATTTATTTTGATTTGCAAAGTAGAGTTTGAATATTTAAGACATGCCTTGCATTTCATGCTAGCTACAACACTAGTACAGTAGTATATCTTGGACAATGGAGTCATGTGTTCATCAGCCAAAATAAATCAATTTTTTTATTTTATTTTATTATCTTGTTTTATAGGAAATATTGAAAATACATGATATTTTACTTAGTTATGTATTCTGGATATCCTTTTTGCGTTAAAAGAAAATATTGTGAGGGCAATGCAAATGCAACGCTTCCTTAAATTATTCCCCTGTTTTCCTCTGTTTTAGAACTCTGGGTACATATTTAATTTCACCAATTTATGCAAAATCTTAAGAATATTAGTGGAATAATTCAGAGGGTTAGGCGGAACCATACATCTTGAACTTAATGACTACTTTAGCCAATGGAAGAGAAGGGGTTTCAAATCACTGGTTCAATTTATGTATTGTAGCAACAGGTGTAATAGTTGTCTATTACCTGTTCAAATCATGCATCGATATTGTCTCTTTCCACCTTAACCATCTAAGAGGCAGAAGGCTCAATGGACCTCTAGGTGTGATGTATTATCACAAAAGGCATCGGTGCAATTATGAGTGGACCACCTATATATTTGAACGATATATTATTGTTTTATTCTTCGATGTGGAACTTACACATCATGATTTGTATCGAGCCACTTACACCAACATTGTGGTGTGGTGTTTTATCACTAATTAGTAATTAGCATTCATGGATTCCTCTTCCAAAGAGCATGACTTGGAAGTAGTTGTATCATTTGTTTGCTAATAGGAGAGCCACGCTTGAGTTTTTCTTTCTTTCTTTTGGCTGAAGGAAGAAGATGAAGTGCTTCGCAATGACTGAAAAATATGAAATCTTTATGTTGATATATAAGCGATATTGAGGGAAGAAGATTCTAACACAATCGCGGGACCAACACTAGAAAATATTATTCGAAACGGAAAAAGGAAAAAGAAGAAGAAGAAAGAGTGAGAATTTGGATACGATTCAACTCAAATACCCAAGTCAAGAGATTGATAATGATTGATGGGGACGGATGAGTGTCCAATTTCATCCGCACCAAGTATAATTTTTTTTAGTTAGGAAAAAAATAAAGGAAAAAGGAAACGTGAAGCCAGTCAAAGTCAGCGAAGTGAGGAGGCAGTGAGCATCAGTCTGGTTAAAAGAGATGGATATTTCTTTGTTATCTTCAACCCCGTAGCCACCAGAGGACCCGTCATTCAGATTATCAACAAAGTGGTTGTCTAATCCCTACCCATTCACTAAACTTTGAATCAATAATTTTAATTATTAAATACTCAAGCGTGTAATAACACGACAGGGATAGGGATAGGGATAGGGATAGGGGTAGCGATAGTGATAATGATAATTGTTACCAAAAAGATAGTGATAATGATAATGATAATAAGGAGTTTCACGTTGTAAATAATACCTCGAATGGTTATCATGCACTCGTTTAAGATTTCAACTGCGCAGTTGGGTTGTGGGTTGTGGAGTGCGTAGTTTGAAATGTCTTATGGTCCAAAGTTGTCTTTTGAAATGTCTTAATTATGGTCCCACTTATCTTTTGAAATGTCATATTTCTGTCTACATGCAGAAGCAAACTGGGAATTTGCCACATAAAAGCAGTCAGTATTGACATTGCCTTTGTTTCTTGTATAAGAAGTGAATGGATGGGTGGATGAATTGAAGAGAGAGAGAGAGAGAGAGGGAGAGAGAGATGATGGCTAAGGCAGATATCAATGGCAAAGATCGTAGATGGTCTCTTCACGGAATGACTGCTCTTGTCACTGGAGGAACGAAAGGGCTCGGGTTAGCCTTCTCTTTCAATTTCCTAGCTTATTTTTTCAATCTGATCGTTAGTGTTTTCTTCTCAAAAAGAAAAACTTGTAACATGCATGATGCATGTAATGCATATCGAATATACCTCTAGTACATGCAGAGACATCTAACGTTATCAGACAGTCTACTAAGTGAACATTAATTTCTCTCTTTCCCACTTTTTTTTTTTTATGTATGGATCATAATTGCATAATATATATAGGCATGCTATTGTGGAGGAATTGGCAGGGCTAGGTGCAATTGTGCATACTTGTTCTCGAAATGAAGGCCAGCTCAATGACTGCTTGAGTCAATGGAAGATGAAGGGTTTTCATCAAATCACTGGTTCAGTATATGATCTGGTGTCAATAGCCCAACGGCATGAGCTAATAAACGAAGTCTCATCACAGTTCAACGGGAAACTTAACATCCTTGTAAGTACTCCATTCATTGAAGTTGTATTTGTTTAGCGAAATCACACAATTTATAGGCCAATTGGTTAGGATAGTGAACCCACTCCATTGCACCCAAATTCGAATTCCCTTCCCAGTCGAAAGGCTTTAATTTTCGTCTTTTTGGTAATGAGAAACCAAGATAATATTATTAAGAAATTTAGTATGATGGATGGTGAGCTAGTCTCGTCCCTCCTCCATCATACCTCCATCATACTCAACAGATGTTTTTTTTCTCCTTTCTTGAAACTATTTTATTAAAAACTACATCTAAAATATGAAAATCATGATATCCAAGAGTTGTTCTAAAATGGTCATCCTCTTGCAAATATATTTGGGTGTAGATAAATAATGTGGGAACTGCTGAAGTAAAACCAACAATCGAGACCACAGCTGAAGATTACTCATTTATTATGAGCACCAATCTTGAATCAGCTTACAATTTGTCCCAACTTGCGCATCCTCTTTTGAAAGCTTCAGGAGCTGGTAACATTGTCTTTATGTCTTCTGTTGCTGGCGTTGTATCAATTGGGGAGGTGGAAGTATATATGCTGCCACTAAAGGTACTGCCCCCTTTTTTTAAAAAAAAGAAAATAGAAAAATCTCCTTTCAAAATTTAAAGTGATATTTATTTAAATTATTATATGTTTCAGGAGCAATAAATCAATTGGCAAAATCCTTGGCTTGTGAGTGGGGAAAAGATAACACAAGGATCAACAGTGTTGCACCATGGTTCATCAAAACTCTCACGGCTGAACCTGTAGGATCCTAAATTTTTTAGTTTTCATGTTTATTGACGCATCATTTATTCAAATTTGAGTCTACTCCGAATTTTAGTTTTCTATGACAATACGACTAATATATGTGTACTACCACATTATTTAGTAAGTACATTAAAACTTATCAATCTCTCTTCTTTACATGCATGCAGTATCTCAGTGACGTAAAATATTTGAAGGCTATTAACTCGCGAACCCCGTTAGGACGGCCAGGAGAGCCGGAAGAGGTGGCAGCCTTGGTGTCATTTCTATGCCTCCCTGCAGCTTCTTACATAACTGGGCAGACTATTTGCATCGACGGAGGTTTGACTGTCAATGGCCTCCTCATCCAAGGAGCATGAATATAATTGGAGAGTTGAGCACAAACCATAATGTTTCT